CCGCTTCCGCCGCGGTGCCCGGCGGCGGGCACCCAGCCCCTCGGCCAGGTGCTGCAGCGGGACCACGAGGGCAGCCGCTCAGGAGCAGCGGAACTGAAGAACAGGACCCAAGGTCCAAGGAGACCCTTCGTAACGAAACGAGGCTGTCCCGCCAGAGACAGCCGTAACACAGCGAGGCCTGGATGTGTAAGGCCCGTCACGTCGCACGAAGCTCGCCTCAGTGAGGCGACAGCCCACTGCAAGCCGAGTCCTTCAGTACCTTAAACTCATCAGTTCTGGGAGGAACAGAGTTGTAAAGGGAGTGCAGATTTAGTTCTTAGACTGTGTAGAGGCCAGGATGCAGTACTGCTTCTTTCGACATGTGTTTTAAGTCAGCATTTGGTTTTTATTTACATCACTTCAACAACTATAAAGCTGTAGGAATTAATATTGCCTGCCTATATGCGCGTTACCTTCTCATCCCTAACGAGAGTCAGAAATCGCAAACTCCCAGGGATGGCACAGAACTTGAGCTGTCTTTTGAGAATCTTAAATATAACTGAGTTAAAAAGGCACCGAGTGTCTGTATCCGGGCTTCACGGCGTCAGTCTTCACCATTTGATGTTAAATCCAGCGCTCGGTTTCTCCACGGCGTGGTACTCTGTGTGCAAAGCTCTCGCCGCCTTTTCTGAGCCCGCGCCCCCCAGCCACTGCTCGTACAGCTCAGTCACAGTCCGGTTCTTCTCTGGGATTTCGCTCTGAAGGGAGTCGTACAGCCTCTCGACTTGCTGAAGCTGCTCCTTGCTGGATTCACTGTCGAGTTTGATCTGACCGCCGCCATTTAAACAGCCTGAGTGCAACAAAGTGAGAAAACCTTACTGAGTTTGGGAAGCACTTCAGCTTTATCAGAAAAAAAAACCACCCCAACAAGCCAACAACAGTTAATTTACTCTGCAGCTGCAAACAGTTACAGAAACGAGAACACCCTTATAACTGCCCTTGGCTCCTGCAGTGGGGCTTGTTGGTCCCCAGTGCAGGCAGAGGTCAGGAGCAGTGGGGAGCTCTGGCTCCTGTGCCTCCAGAAGACAGCCCAGGAGAGACTGGCCTCGGAGCCT